ATCATCATCATCATCATCATCATCATCATCATCATCATCATCATCATCATCATTTTAAAGTTTAAAGCGTTTAAAGTGGATGATGAAGATCTCGGTGGTTCTGATCATACTGCAATCATCATTGTAGTGAACAGTGCAACTAAACATCAGTCGATCTTTGCAAAGGCGCCACGATGGAGAAGAAACGGAGTGAACTGGCCAGATTTTCGAAATGAGATTGAAAGCAAGATGGATAACTTACCGGAAACTGACGATCTGAATCTGCGAGTCCAACGTTTCAATGCCATCTTACTTGAAGCCGCTTATGCGCATGTCAGGAAGGTGAAGCCGTCCAAGAAATCCCACTCTTGGATGACCCCCAAGTGTCGTGGACTGATCAAGAAAAGAACCAGCTAAGAAAAAATATCTCCTCACACAGAGAGGAATGGTGACAAGCTTGCAAAGATGTTACAGAGGCTGTCCAAGAAGCAAAGACTGGCCAGTGGAAGAAGGTAGTTAATGGCGTGATAAATGATCTAGACGAAAGGAAAACTTGGAGTTTCATCAAGTCTCTAAATGGGTCACCAGATACTAACTCTCCGAACGAAGTACTGAAACACAACGGGAAAAGGATAACATCAGCAAAGAAGAAAGCTGAACTTTTTGCCCAGCACTATGCAAAAATCAGTAAGCTCCAATTTACCCAAGAGGAGCGCAGAAGAAACAAACTCCGATTGAAGCGATCACTGTAAGACGATGTGAACAGCGAAGATGAACAACAATCATACCCAGACTTCATCATGAAAGAGCTGGAGCGTGCCATAACACAAATGAAGAGAAGAAGTGCTCCAGGACCTGATGATATACCACCATCATTCCTAAAAGAGCGTGGCCCGCTCGCAATGAAAGAATTGCTCAGCATATGTAATCTGTCGCTTAACCAAGCAGCGCGCCCACAAAACTGGCGTAAGGCACTTATCATTCCCCTCTTGAAAGCTGGTAAGTCACCTTGTGATATGACATCCTTTCGACCCATTAGTTTGATATCCTGTGTCGTGAAAGTTATAGAAAGGATGCACGCTGAAAGAATATACTACCTGTCAGAGAAAAATGAATGGATTGCAGATAGTCAGGCAGGTTTTCGCCAAGGTCATAGCTGCACGGACCAGATCATCAGAATCTGTCAAGGAATTGAGGATGGTTTTCAACAAAAGCCAACATTCCATCGATCAGTCCTAGTCCTGCTGGACTACTCCAAGGCATATGATACGGTTTGGCGTGAAAGACTATTACTGTCAATGGCTGATAAGGGAGTTCCGTTGCGTGCAATCAGATGGATCCATGGTTTCCTGAGAAACAGACAAGCCCGTGTTTGCCTGAATGGAGAAACAAGCAAGAGCCAGAATTTCAAGCAAGGGCCTCGCCAAGGAGCTGTACAATCACCGCTACTGTTTTTATTCTTCATAAACAACCTGGCAGAATCCCTCCCAAACCCTGACTCACAACAACTAACCTCCGTCAAGCTGATCTACTCAGTGTTCGCAGATGACTGCACAATATAGGCCAGTCACGCAAAGAGAGAAAAGGCAAATGAAGCGACGCAGTTGATTGTGGACATGGTTGTGAAAAGGAGCAATGAATGGAAGCTTACCTTGAATGCAACCAAGAGTGAAGTGTGCTTCTTCTCAACATGGGTGAAGGAGGCAACGTAGCAACCAATAATTCAGAACAAAGGGATAAAGATACCATTCAACCCCACTCCACGTCTGTTGGGCGTCTACCTGGATAGACAGCTAACCTTCAACAAGCACATCGAGGAGGTGTCCAAAGGTGCAACCTCAAAAATTAAGGTTATCGGTGCTGTCAGCAACTCAAAATGGGGCTGGGGGAAGGAGTCGCTCAAGAAAGTATATCAGATGTTTGTGAAAAGCAAGATGGATTATGCCGCCCCAGCGTGGCAGCCTTGGCTCAATGAGACTAGTGCAAAGGCCCTGGACAGAATACAAAACAAAGCCCTCCGACTTGTATCAGGTCAGTTGAAAACAACACCCACAGAAGCGCTGCGCTATGAGACCAGAACTGAGCACTACACCACCTCTACAAAAAGAACTTGCCTCAAGTGTGTAGAGATGGCTAAGTGATTACCAGACAACCATCCTAGAAAGAAAGCCCTTGGTCAAGCAGTCAAGCCTAAATACAGCAGGAAAAGTGGGTTTCGGATGGGCACCGATCTAGCAGACCACCTCCCCCCTGAAGCAGAGAATCGATGGCCGATCAATATGGTGAGAGCTTGTCCATGGGAGACCCATGGCGAAATCGAAATTCGGACAGAACTGAGAGGAGTATAAGGAAAAGGTGATGATCCCGTAAAGGCTCGTGAAGCAGCTGAGGATGTGATCAAAGAGGTTAGTGCGGATGTGACAATTTTCACCGATGGATCGGCTGTCGCAGGATACAGCGAAGGTGGAGCAGCAGCAGTGGTGATAATGAACGATGAACCACCACGAACAGAAATTATTAAAATTGAAGGTGCATTCCTTATATCATCTTATGACGAGGAATGCCAGGCAATGATGTCTGCTGCACAATGGATTGCTGACCATTGCCACAGTAGGACCAATGTGCTGATCTTGACTTACAGTCAGTTCCTCTGCAAGAGGCTGCTGGGCAACAGCTCGGACATGAAAGATTTGCGCCGAAAGTTCAGTGAAGCCAGAGCCACAATAATAACCCAGTGGATTCCAAGCCATGTTGGAATAGAAAGAAATGAGGCAGCAGACCAAGCTGCGTATGAAGCCAGAGAGATTGAAGGAAACAGACGACCAACAACATACAGAGGAGTTTTTCCAATGATCAAGAGGAAAATCAAAGACCCACCATGTAGAACTAAGTACCAGCACCTGGAAGATGTGTATTCTGGGTACTCCTATAAGCGGGAACAAAAGTCTATCACATGTCGCTGGGACCAGGTTGAGCTAGCGAGATTGCGGTCGGACCATCATTGGAGTTTAAGATGGTATAAGTACTTTGTAAATGAAGAGCTCAGCCCATGTTGCCGAAGATGCGGCCATGAAAAGGAAGATGTCAAACATATTATATTTGAATGTCCAGGAACAATGGCAATCAGAATGGAGTTATTTGGATGAGTGGAGGTGCTGCTACGCATATTGACAATGGAGCCGAAAAAGAGCCTCGATCTCGCTCGAAGATTTCTTCGTGGAGTCCATCAGGCCCAGTAAGGAAACAAAAAAATCATCATCATCATCATCATCATCATCATCATCATCATCATCATCATCATCATCAATGTCCTTATCCAGGTACCGGATCGCCGTCCAGAGCCCTCCTAGTGTGGCTGACCGCTGGTATCGTCGGATAGTGATGGAGAGACCAGACATAGCCCTGGCCGTGCTTGGAGGTATTGTTCTTGTTGCCGTGGTCTTCTTCCTCTTATCGTGCCTGAAGGCTCGCAACACAGAAGAAGACAGCGAAAAAAAGTTTCAAGGGGAGCGCAATGGTTGGGAAGAAGTTTTGTCTGAACACAGAGGCCGAGGTAAGCTGAAACCTTCCGATATTAGCAGTGGTGATGAGGAGGATGATGACGTAGAGACAGATAAGGAGGAAGAAGATGAAGAAGAAGAACGCTCAACAGAGAAGAAAGCCCTTGGAATTGGCAGTGGCGATCGACTCGAGGTTTATGAAAACGAATCAAACGTTTCGGAAGACGACGAAGACGATTCTCATGATACCGAAGCAGAAAGAAAGCGAGCCCGAACAAAAGCAAAACGCTTTAAATCAGCTGCAGGTGTAGACGAGGCTGACGATAACGACGACGGAAGTAACTCTCAAATCAGCTTTACCGATGATGAAACCGGAGAAAGCAGCGAAGCTGAAGACAGTGAGCTCAATGATAATGAGAATTATGTTGACAAAACCTATCGTGACACTATAGACAAGAACATTAATCACAACAGACACATGGAAATAACAAGCTATCAGTCCGGTCAGAGTAGAAATAATTTCATATCAACGACAAAGAGATCTAAGGCAACATTGACATCTCCAAACGACGTCAGCAAATCAAAACGAAAGTCAACAGGGAAGTCAAATAGGACAGAAAGCGACCATGCAGACAGCAGAGTCGTTGAACGGGACGAGTTGAAAACATCCAAGTCTGCGGCAACTGCGTGGCTTCTGAGAAGACTACCTTTCCCTAAGGATCCACTACAACAGCTTGAAAGTAGAACGGTACACGAGAAAGATTGCAAGAAATCAAGAAAGGCCCACAAGGATACCAACAGAATTCATGTCAGAGAGAGGGCTTTTTTAAGTGTCGAATCCGAGAAGCAGAATTTCTCACGGCGTCCAAAAGTTGGGCAATTCTGTCCACGGTATGAAAAACCATACTTTGGCATGAAAAAAACTCCACTCGACGTCTTGGGGCGGTATGCAAGGCACGAGCACAACAAAAATGAACTCGCTGGACAGAGAACGGGACACTATAGACGATATAAAAAGACAAGGCAACAGTCTTTGAAGGAAAAACCCTTCTTGCAATACGCAGAGCTAGAAAGACACCCTACTGTTGAAAAATCTCCTGCGGAGAAACAGACGTATTGTCACCAGGCAGCAACAGGAAAGAGGTTGCACTCTCAGTTTCGTTGTGATAAGAAAAAAGGAAGGAATACAAATACGTCGCAGAGGTCGAGGGTGGGTTATTCTGAACTAGAACACCCACCACCCAGATGGTACCATCAACCATCTTGGGTGAGTTCTCAGCTGCAACGATTTATTTCATCCCGTACCAATTCAAAATGGTTCTGCGGGCAAAGGTACAGCGCTGTACCCAAAGGAGAGCCGTCACACATCGAAAATAGCGACAGAAACATAGAAATGGAAGGGAAACACGAGCAAATTATACTATCTGAACGCACCAGCCGTGCCGGTTCTGCAGACAAGGTCGGGTATGCAACGTCGTGTGACAGAAAACGACGTCACGGAGAATTTCCGCCAGACGACAAGACGTTTTCTGGCGGGCTTTCCGAGGTCAAGGTCAAAGTGGACAAGTGTAACCGTGTTTTGTCCAGTACAGCCAATAAGAACAAGTCACTTATCGTTGCGCATGAGCCGAGCCTGTCTCTGGTAGCCACTCCATGTTCATCAGACTTCTGTGCCGTGTTAATCCAAAGAGACAACACCACCAGCACGCCTTCTGGAGAGAGTAAATGTTCAGAAGATACAGTACGCACACCAAAGAGTTCTAGGGGTAGGACTAGTCATGAGCAGAGAATAATTAATTTTACAACTAGGTTATTGTAATAAAGTGATGGCACTCGAGGACGCTCTAGTTGTTGATGTCCATAATTTATCACCATCACTCTTGCCTTTCTCACTATGGATCAGGGTATTGGCCACAAACAAAAACTTTCCATCTTTCCCTATCATTGGTGTTCTCTTCTGTACATCAATTCATGTGACCTCTTCTCCGGTTTCTACGTGGTCTTCCCCATGATCTTTTACCCTGTTGATTCTAATCCAACGTTTTCCTTGTTATGCAGCTGTCTGACTTCCTGAGAGTATGTCCAGTCCATCGCCACCATAATTATAGTTTGTGTATTTTAACTTTGTTTAGGGAACCCCAGGAGTGATTTTGAGAGCACGCTTGGTTCTTCCTTTCGGTTTTATTCTGGACTTACCAGATCGATATAATTCAAATTGACTGTGGTCAACATCAACTGATGCATCTACATGTGCACTTGTTAAAGTTATAATTTTATTTCTGGGTGGTTTGTGGGGACTTTGAGCGCAAAAATCAGTTTGTTTACAACAATCGGAGTGTGTTTTTAGAAAATGTCAAGTAGACCTATCATGAGTGCTGCTTTACACTGACCCCATGTTGAGGATTCGCTAGATCTAATGATTTTAGTTCCAGTTTTAATTCTTTTTTCTTCTTTTTGGTAAACATGCGATCGTCACGTTCACATTTATCAATGTGCTAAAAATTTCAATTTGTTAGGGGTATTTTTGCCGAGAGACAGGTATAGAATCTAGTAGTGTTGTACCCCATCTACATCCTGCTACGTGAGAAAAAATGTTTTGCTCTCTGCGCGCTGAGTGGGTGGAAAGTGTTAATGCTTTCTCTGGCGTGGACGACACCGGGCTGGGGAGATATTCTATAAATTATCATCAAATGCCAGATCTGTGACAAACATAGTTCTTCATTCATTCCTTTGCTCGGATGCTCTAAGAAAAGCTACATTATCCTAATCTCTCCCCGTCTCCCATCTGTTTAAGCTCTCAAAGTAGGTTGCTCCGGGTCTACCCCTGTCTCGTTTCCCTTCAGTTTTTGCCAGTGAAAGCTAGTATTCTATGAATACAATGAACTCACACAAGTTACTTTCCATAGAATTACATGTATAGTTTAATTCATTCATAGAGGAAAAGAGGGAAAGGGGAAGTGTGTGTGTGTGTGTGTGTGTGTGTGTGTGTG